TCCAATAGTTTTATGAAAATTTTGAATAAATTTCCTGGCAAATTATCGGTCGAATTGTGCTACAATTCCGACCACTATATCCATCCTCCGGCATTGCAAACTAACTTATTTATGCGCGAATTAACTAACTAACTATTTTATCAAAATATTCCAAGTACAGTTAAATCATAGAGCAAGTGTTTTTAAAATTTGTTTCGCTTTTGAAATTTATTTCACCCTCAACCCATTGAAAATGGGTAAAAGGGGTAAAAAGGGTATACAAATTGTGTGCAAATGTAAGTAACAGGCAGAAGAAGGCATCTTCGACTTCCAATCGATATATTCGATTGGTAATTAATATATGAAAAATGGTTGATATTGACACGAACGTAAGCGGATATCCTTAAATATTATATTTAATGATCAGTAAATCCCAAAGAATCGGTCTCCTTGCTATGAAGTCTTATTATTATGCTTGTGAGTGGAGTTGTGGAGTATTTAAGTCGCAATTAAGATCACCTGTTTCATTGCAAGCGGTATTTTTGCCAATTACTCCTGGTATTTGACATTTAAGGCTGGGTCTCCCTGAAACTTTTTTATGTAAATCAAATCATTTTTGAAATGAATATGGTTTGGTATGAAGTTCGGGTTGACAGATTTCTTAATCGGGCTTTGCTTAAAGCTTCAAGCTTCATCAAGTGTATACATTTTTCAAACAAGCGGATATATCACGGCTATATCACGGCCTCAACCGCAGAAAGTTTGTTGCTTTAAAGGTATTTAGGTATCTTTTTTCCACACCTTACCCTACCGCATTACCTTAAAACCCTTGTCTTAAATTAAATATTTTAAATAAATATTTGAAAATGAGCTTGATATAGGTCGAATGAAGGAATAAAAGATATTCCAAAATTAGTTAAATAAAAAAGTCGCTTTGGCCTCCATTGGATAGGGTAACTACAGTAAAAGTTTTAGTTTTCTAGCTCTAACGCTTTGAGCTAAACGTTGGCCACCAATTTGTCAGTTAGTCAGTCAGTCGGACAAACAGCTTTATATACATATAAAGATATGTTTTATGTATCTGCAAAGTTTTTGAATCTTCGGCACTCCTAAAATAACTTCCCTGGCTTGCCAATAATATTGTAATGTTTTTTTTATAATATTGCTAGACTCCATTTAACATTTCAATTTGCTGAGCAGCTTATGCTTCCATTCGTTCGGTTTGACGCTGTCAGTCAAGTATTTCTATTTCTGTTGAAAATTTGATTACATTTTGAAATGGTTGTTCCACACAATTCAGAGCTGAACAGCTCTGCGTACTCGGCCCAGTTATGTTTTGGCCAGTTGTCAGTCAACGATTCTGAAATACTTTTAGTGGACTTCTGCGGCTGCGGGTTGAAGTTCGTTCGAGCGGGCGACCCGCTTCAATGTCATTTCAGTTGACAGCTGTTCCACTAAACACTTGACTATTGTAATTTTCAATGTGTCAGATATGTGCGGGTGGTATATGATGGAAGGCTTGGTGTTTCAAGTTTTTATTACGTGACTTCCGTTTTGTGTCCTTTTTTTGTATGTTGCGGCAATTCTACAGCTACTTGCAGCTACCAGTTGCCAACTCTTTTAGCTGTATGTGTGTGTGTGTGTGTGTGTGTGTGTGCGTGCGGTGTTGCTTTCAAGTATGTTTTAAGCAAAGTTTGCGCATAAACTTTTTGGCAAAAGTATTTCTGGCTACAAAGCTCAAATATTTTCATTTGCTTGTGGCAGCTGCACGAAATAATTGTGGCACTGTTGGCTATCTCGCCCTCGCTCACACTGTCTTTGGCCACATCGTGACTGGCCGCCTCGCTGATTTGTGGCAAGCAAATTTATTGACAATTCATGGCGCCAACACCACCACCAACACCACGAACACCAACTCCGGCACCACTCAACTGCCACAAAAGCTATTCAAGCGGTTTTTTTTTTCTGTTGAACTTTGGCGCAAGTTTGTCGCAAGTTGCGCTTTCCGGCTGGCCGCCCATGACAAACTGCCTGCCCATTTAAGCCGTAGACTTTTCATTTTTCATCTTTTGCGCTTCTTCTTGTTCTTCTTCTGTAAGCACTCGCAATGCCCAGACGGAGAGCGGCGCGGCAGAATCTGTGCCTGCAAATGGCCAAAAGACAACAAAGTTTAAATTAATGGCACTCAACTATTAGCAAAAATTAAAAAGCCGCCACAGTTTGAGTTTTCATGCGAGTCAAGTGGGGGCGAGTGGCGAGCTGCTGCGGAAAACTTCAAGAGGGCGTGGTTAGGGCGGCTGGCAGCGGTCACGCCCATGGCTTGAGCCACAGTTATTGCGGCCAGAAACAGCGGCAAACTGTGGGCCAATTAGCGCTGACAGCGAATTTAAGTCGAGCAACAGGCCAAACAATCAAATGTGCGTGTGTGTATGTGTGCGTGTGTGTGTGTGTATTGTCTCACATTCGTACACACACCAAAAACTTTAGTCTACGTGACATGAAAGTGCACTCTCACTTGGCCAAAAATGGCTGCCAGGAAACTGTAAATATAACTGTAACTGTAACTGTAATTTTAACTGTAACTGCAATTGAAACTGTTAACTGTAACTTGGTCAACTGGCTAAAAGTAAATGGCTGCTCCGGCTGCTGACACATTTATTAAGAATTTATGCACCTGAATTAATAAATTAATTCGACTTATTTGAGTGTGTGTGTGTGTGTATGTGTGAACGCTGTGTGTGTGAACGCTGTGTGTGTGTATGTGTATCTCTGTGTGTGTGCGGCAGCAAAATTAATTCGAATTTATTGCGCAACTCGAGCAGCGGTAAGTGCAAATACATGTCGCTCATACGCCGCGTTTGCCGCGCAAATTAATTAAACAATTTTGCATTGTATGGCAACAAGGACGGGGCAGTTGGCCTTTGAGAGGCAGCAGGAGTTTAGTCGGTCCTCAGCCCAGTGCTGATGCATTGCTTTTGGTGCTCTAATTGAATTAAAGGCGCTTCAAGACAGCGCAGCGCAGCGCAATAATTAAAAGCGGTTGGCCTGATAATCAATTGGCAGCACAGCTGGAGACAGGTACAACAGCAATAACACCAATAACAAAAAAAACAACTGCTGAAAGTTGACAAGGCAACGGCAGCCACAGTGGCCGTAGCAACAGTGGCAGCAGCAACAGGCCAGGCAGACAATTGGCAGCATTCGAGTAATAGAAATATATTGGCGCCGCACGCAGCTTCAAGCAAGGTTCTTGGCCACGGCAGTCAAGTGCCACTCGAGCTGCTCTCTGTGTGTATGTGTGTGTGTGTGTGTGTGTGTGTTGGCTCATGAATTGCCAAGTGAGCCAGTTGCCAGCAGCTGCTTAAAACTAATGAACCACCCACTCGCGCGCGTGTGTGTGTGTGTGCATACTCGCATCCCTTCATGTGTTTAGATGTCTTATTTTCTTGAACATGCCCCATAAAGGCGCACGTAATTAAATCTAACTTTATTAGCACATTTGTTCAAGTGAGCGAACTCTTTGCATGCTGCCAAGCGCCAACAAGAGACCCACAGCCCAACAACAAAAGTCAAGGAAAACAAAAGACAAAAAATTCTCCCGATTATCTACATACCTGTCCATTCATTGAACACACGTGCCAAATGTTAAATGAATATTGCTTAAATAAGCCATGAGCAGTACATGGTGACCTTTTTCAAAGGTTTTTTTTTCCACTTTAGTCGTAATAGAGCCGGGAAAGTCTAATTTAAACAAATGGCAACAAGTAATTCGTTTTCAGAGTAATATATCAATTTTTTAGAGCATACTTCTGCTTCTCTCTGTTTCATTCTGGTATAAAAAGAGAATTAAAAACAAGTGTGTGCTCCGTACTATTAGAGACGTTTTATTGAATAGCACCCGTGTTAATTAATCTTTTCTATATAATATTTTTAGGGCACACATGTGGCACCCAATTCTGAATTAGTTTTTGTTTCTATTAGTTATATGGGGATTGAAGGAAGGTATCCGAAAACTGTTATAATTTATGTATATTATAAAGTGTGTAGAATGAATTAGGTAATGGAATGTAACACATTCTCTTGCCACACAAATTAATTTGAATTTTGGTTGGAAGAACAAATAAATAAATTTGGAGCTTGTTAATTAGAAAGCTTCAATATGTAAAAGACACTTGTGTTATATTTTTGTTGTGGAAGTTTTGTTATTTTTATAGCTATATATTATATACAAATATATATTATATAGTTATATAGTTAAATATATTTACAACTTATAGATATAGAGCACAATCATAGTCGTTAAAATTTTGCAGTTGTTGTTAAATTGGTCTATATTAAAAAAAAAACATCTTAGAGCCTTACAGCTTAAGCATTAGCTTACTTTCTTTTAGAACTTTAAATACAAAGCATTAAATGCATTTCAAATGAAATTTCTAAAATGAATTTTGATTCGTTACGAAAGTTAAATTCCCAGCATGACTTTTTAAGTTGTTTATTTCTTATAATTTGCTCTGCCTCTTTACAATTTTGCTTCCTTTTGTCCCCCCCAACCTTATGTCAATGGAAAAAGCTTTATCCAGTATTTAATTTATACACTATAAATAAATATAAGTTGTTCGAATCTTGTTGTTGCTGTTAACTGTTGTTGAATGTTGTTGTTAATTGCAGTTGTTGTTAAAGGCCCAGACACCTGTAGCCACAAAAAACGAAAAAAAAAAGAAAACCACCAACCACTACATCACCAATGTCCGTCACTTTAGCTGCCCCACCCTCTTTTTCTTTATATTTCACTCTGTTTATAGCAGCTTCCTTTCCAATTACACACAAACGTTTAAAATGGTTAATATGCAAATAATTTTACTATCTGCTCACATTTCTCTTGTTTTTCAAAAATAAAAAACAAAATAAATAAAACAACCACCAATAACTCGGTCATAAATGCGACAAATTAAATAATTAATGCAAAAATCTATCAAAAACAATTGCAAATAATTTCAACTTAATCGCTTGGATGGCTGCAGCCGAGCTTAACAAGGCCACGCCCAGTGGCCGCTTGTGCCGCACAGCGGCCATTGATGGTGGTGACGCAGACGTCAACGCGGACGTCGACGCCGCCGCCGACGCCAATGCTGGCTGTGACGTCAACGCTGCTGACGATGATGAACGATGGCGGCCAAATGTGCTGAATGCAGCAACTGCAACACTTGACAGCAGACAGACCAAAACGACAGCAACTAAAACAACAACAACAATAGCAAAACATCAAAACAACAAAAGAAATACAACAACAACAACAACAGCAACTAAAACCAGTCAAAGATTGGCGCCACGCGCCAGCTTTCCTGAAATAATGCAGCCACGGCTATCCCTGAACGGCATGCTAAATCCACCGTATCCATCGTTAATGCCATCGCCGCGTCCTCTGTACCGGGATCACAGCTCGAGGTCGATAAATCCGCTGACCGCTTACGAGCAGCAAATGGCCGAGCTCGATGGCAGCTTCTATGGCAGCAATGCGGCATATTTGGGTGCTGGCATGAGTGGCAGTGCCGGTGGAGCCACCACGTGCACCAATCTGACAGTGGGCGGTGCTGCGACAGCAACTGTTGCTGCTGGTGGTGGTGGTGGTGGTGGTTTTGGCGGCGGTGCTGCCAGTGGCGGTGGTGGTGGCGGTGTTGGCAGTGGTGTTGGCGGTGGTGGTGCTGGTGCCTTTCACACAACCGAACTTTCAATAACTCCAACAATGCCAGCTGATGAGCAGTTTATTGATTTGGGTAGCCTGCGTCGCTTCTCAATCGATCGACAGAGCTTTCTCGGTAAGACTGCAGTGTGTCTCTCTGTGTGTGCGTGTGTGTATGTGTGTGAGTGTGTCTGTGTGTGTGTGACTATCCCTGCTGTGCGCTCTGTATACCCTCTGCCCCATAATTTCATCAACCAGAAACCAGTTGAACTCAAATTTTTCGTCTCTTCTCCAGATCTAGGCCCCAAGTTTGGCATGTCCCAGCCGAAATTCGGCCAGAGCGTCTCGCAACAAGGTTTCTTCACGTCGCATGACAGCCTGGCCACACCATGCGCCTCCAGAGCATCGAACTCGCATATGGCCACCGTAAGCACTGCCTCCGAGATGGATTTATTGCACAACAAGCAACGCCCCAACAACAACAAATCGCGCGGCCGTCTGAAAACGACCGGCGGCGATCAGCCACTGCTGGGCACCTGGAATCGATCCACAGGCCGCGGCTCGCAGGATAACACGCTAAGTGGAGGTGGTGGTGGTGCCACCAGTGTGCTAATGGGGCATACACAATATGGGGGAAACTATTGCAACGGCACCGATCGGTGAGTACACGAACTTCCCACCCACTTTTATAATCTATTCTATAATCTATTTGAACTTCGATTCCAACGACAGCTACCCGCGTTCACGTTCGCAGCAGCAGTCGCACCACAATGCCGGACAAGCCCAGCACCACCCATACCAGTTGCAGCACTCTGCCTCCACGGTGTCGCACCACCCGCATGCGCATGGTCAGTCCGCACACGGCGGCCCTGGACCGCCCCATGGCGGCCATCCGCACCACCAAATGCATGGTGGTGGGGGGCCTGGCAGTGGGGTTCCCAGCGGACATTCAGCACAGCATCAGAAACCGCATCGCACTGCCTCGCAGCGTATACGCGCCGCCACGGCCGCCCGCAAGCTGCATTTTGTATTCGATCCGGCGGGGCGGCTCTGCTACTATTGGTCCATGGTGGTTTCCATGGCCTTTTTGTACAATTTCTGGGTGATAATCTACCGCTTCGCCTTCCAGGAGATCAATCGGCGCACGATCGCCGTGTGGTTCTGCCTGGACTATCTGTCCGATTTTCTATATCTGATTGACATATTCTTTCACTTTCGCACTGGATATCTGGAGGATGGGGTGCTGCAAACGGATGCAATCAAACTGCGCACACACTACATGAACTCGACGATCTTCTACATCGACTGCCTCTGCCTGCTGCCGCTGGACTTTCTCTACTTGTCGATTGGCTTCAATTCGATACTGCGCAGCTTTCGGCTGGTCAAGATCTATCGGTTTTGGGCCTTCATGGACCGCACCGAGCGGCACACCAACTATCCAAATCTGTTTCGCTCCACGGCCCTTATACATTATCTGCTTGTGATATTCCATTGGAACGGCTGCCTCTACCACATTATTCACAAGAACAACGGCTTCGGCTCACGGAATTGGGTCTATCACGACTCCGAGTCGGCGGACGTAGTTAAACAGTATCTGCAGAGCTATTACTGGTGTACCCTGGCATTAACCACCATCGGGGACCTGCCCAAACCCCGCTCCAAGGGCGAGTACGTGTTTGTGATATTGCAATTGCTATTCGGCCTGATGCTCTTTGCCACGGTGCTCGGACATGTGGCGAACATTGTGACGTCGGTGAGTGCGGCGCGCAAGGAGTTTCAAGGTGAGTGCATGCTAAGAAATATGTTTTTACGATTGGGTGGTGAATCGGTTATAAAGTAAAACAGGTTTTTTATAAAAAAAAATAGAACCGGTTGTGAACCGGTTAGATGCATTGTAATTCAAGACGGTTAAACAAGGAAATGGGAAATGTTTTCAATGGGTAGATACGTGTATATCTGGAAAACATTAAAGATGTCGAAAATGCGACAGCCGAAACAGTTGTGAACCGGTTATATGCAATTTACGGTTAAGCAAGAAATATTTAATGAATATAGAGATGTATAGCTTGAAGACATAAAAGATATAAAATCGGAATAATTGAACAATGTATTATAATTTGAAACGGTTAACCAAAGAAGCGAAAGAAAATTTGGCTAACAACATATTACATAGAATATGCATAAAATACCATATGTACACAACGGTTGGAAATTTAAAACGCCTCTGCTACGAATGGTTTGGCAATATATAAATATGTGTACGAGTATAAGGTGCAGAAAAACTTAAACGGATAGATGACGAACAAATCAAAAGCAGAAACGGTCTTAAAGCGGCAGAGATAAAAGCTCGGAAGATTTTTGACAAAACAAAAAAGGGGCTTGTGTATATTGGAATGGTGTAACAAGGACAAACAGCTTCCACTTGAAATGTTGCGTGATACGGTAAAACTGATATTTAAAAAGAGTACAAAGGCAACACGTTTTTGGGCCCAAGCGAATTAAGGCCAACATATAATTATTAGGCTCAGGAGGGTACCATAAATCACAGCATACAATGTTGAAATGTAATCATTATCCGTTGTTGGTTTTTCTTTTTTGCTTTTCCTTCTTCTTCTTTTTACTTTTGCAATCCTTATCAAGACAATTTTAAGCTGGAATATATAAATTGTTGTTGTTTCTTTTTGTGGCTTCAATATTTACGAGCTGTCTGATTAAACTGTTGCTCAGAGCTAGGTTAGATACGCACACATATGGGAACAATAATCCGCAGCTAACATAGCAACAAGATGAGAAAGCTGGAGACACAAAACGGACAGACGGATGGAGCGACGGACAAACGGATGGGATACACGAATGAAACCTGGGGGGTAGATACATTTGACAAAACAGAACAATGAGCAAAGCTCTCAAAAGTATGCAAAACTTTTTGGCTTTGCCATTTTAGCTGCTTAAATTGAGGAAAATTTTCTATGTGTGTTTGTGAGTGTGTGTTTGTGTATACGGGCAATTGTATACAATATATACAAATCCTGGCTGGCTTAAGAGACGTTGCTCTTTTTGTGCCCGACAAGACTCTCTGCTCGTGCTGCTTGAGCACACGCTCCTCGAGCAGTGTGCACTGAGAAGCAGCCTCTTGTGAGCTCAGTAGGCCATGCGGCCATTAGCTAAATGAACTCGTTTATTTGCTCCATAAATAACTGGACAAAATGCAAGTGTCGCCATTGCAGGCGTCCGACGGCGTCTTGTCGTTTTAATTTCAAAAGACCGGCCAAGTCAAATGCCTGGCAAGCAATTCAAGAAAATTGCAAAACTGGGGCTGTCCGAGAACGGACTTTCATTAGGCGAACGTCAGCTGAAAATATTAAGGCCACTCAACGGCAATGGGCCACAATGGCGAATGCCCAAGGGACAACGGATGCTAAACTAAGGAGTGGACAGTGGCCGGCAGCCGGAGCCGTAGCTTGGGGCAAACAAAGCAATTCCTCTGCTCATTGATGGGCGTGGCAACAGTTTGCACCTCTACAGAGAATAGCTGCCAGATGCAGCATCAACATGTTTACACAACACTTTTTCATGTGCATATGTGTGTGTGTGTGTGTGTGTGTGTGTGTATGAGAGTGTTGTGTGTGCGAATGTTGCATGCACACAAGGGAGTCCAAGTGATTGAGGGCTTAAATCTAACGGAGTGCGGGGAGTGCGGCAAAAAGTCAGCAAGCAAAGCTCAGCGGCTTAATGGACGAAACGTGCTGCTGCATTAATTTCTGGTTTTATGCACTCGAAACTTTTTCTCATATTTGCATGCAGCAAATCTCAATTTTTATTGCACCACTGGAAATTGTGTATGCCTTTTTTTATGGACGCCCTGACGCTCTTTCGCTAGGTCCGCCCGCATGCATATAGTCGAGAAATGCACTTAATTCCACACGATGTTCGTTGTGGGTGTCCATTTCGTTAATTAATAAGCTGCTGTCCGTCTCGCTAATCACCTCACCCATGCTCGCCATCACGGTGCGCACATCGAGAGCGTCAAAATACCCGACACCCTTACGATCGAACACTTCGAAGGCCTTGCGCAGATTCTCGTCGCTCTCGATGTCGCGCAGCTTGGGCGCCATCACCTGGAGGAACTCTTTATAATCTAAGCAGCGCTGATCACCGACGTCCGCCGCATCGATGAATTCATTGAGGTCCGCTTCGGTTGGCTCGTAGCCCACGTCACGCATGATGAGGTTCAGATCACGGGCCTCAATGGACCCATTCCGATCCTCATCATATTTGTCGAAGACCCTTCGCAGTTCCAGATGCAGCTCCTGGGACATATACTGGGGCATTGCGCGAGCTAAGTAGATTGGCCTAGGATATTCGCGAAATATATTCAAAAACTGCTACGAAAACAAAAATAAATAACAATATAAAAAGTAAATAACTGATTCTCTAAGCGTAAACCAACAAAAAATAACAAATAACGAGAAACCAACTGACAACCAACTCAGAGCCGCAACTTGAACTCGAGGGCTAATAAAACACTTAGGTGACCGTTGCGCATCGCTGAATCGGCAACTTTTCACGTAGTTTTTGCCTCCACCACAATAATAATACATCATATAACCATGGACATGCAACGAGGACCATCCATCAATTTGTCAATTCAGCGCTAGCCGCTTCGAGTGCGCGAGACCACAAGAAGCAAAGGATGCTCGATGCTCGATGCCTGATGCCTGATGCCTTGATGCTAGCTGATGCGGAGCGCTTAGCGGTGCGGGGGTGGGCTGAGTGGATGTTCGCTTGTGAGCAAGCAGAACTCGCAATAAAAAAAACATGACCGAAATCAAATGCAGCATTTGGTGACGCTCAAATGCTCTTCAAGTGCGGCCACAAAGCGAATGTGTAATATATTGTCGAATATAACTCATGCGCCTCGTCGACCACATGTAAAAGCAGCGAATAAAATGGTGTCAACAGGGAAAGGTTAAGTAAAAAGAAAACACAGAGCACGTTTGACATCTAACAAGTGCGCTGCATTTTAAATTCTCAGCGTTGTTGCAAATATCCATGTGTTATTCAACATTACAAGTTTTCAAAATTTGTGCAAAGGCCCTTGTTAACTTTGAAAGTTTCTTTCGGGATTCTTTTATTTTAAATTCTTGTCATGAGATTTTGTTCATAGGGTAAAATGCAACACATAGCTAAGATTTGCATACTTTATGCACATTATATAGGCTAAAGCGCGTCTACAATGACGGAAATAAATAAGAAAACTTTCATTTACCTTCCTGCTTTCATTTTCAATCGGTTTTCAACACTCTACTTAAACACTTAACGAAAAACCTTTAAGAAAATAGCTTTAAGTTCAACTTGAAAAAGTTGTTTGTGGTTTATGAGTTCTTCCAATTAACTTTCGGTGCAACCTGTTATAATCACTTCCGGTCGATTTAAGAGTGTCATAGCATTAAAAGCTGTCTTACTAGGCTGCCATTAATCTTAAAGTTTTCGAAAGTACTTACTATTCTTAAGAACATTTACATAATCCCTGTTTTAATGAGAAATTTCTTTTTTTTTATTATTTTTTGCTTTTCTTTTGTTATTCCGCTTGCAGCTGGTACAGCAATAATTATCATTAATAATTATTAACCCTGTAGCTTGACATGATCCCGCTGATCTGTGATGTCTTAACCTTTTGGCAGTTCGAAACTCATTCAGTTTTGTTGCCGTTGCTCTCCTATTCTACTTTTTCCCTTTCTTATATTTTTTTGCACGCACTTTGCAGGCAAATATCGCAAATACCGCTAGTCATGGTTTAGGGCGCAACACTTTAGTGATGGCCTTCTGCTACATTAAGCAAACTCCCTCTGGCCAACAACTTAAAAACTTATATATTTACTTAGTAACAGGCACCACGCTTCGCATCTCCGCATCACAGCATCTCCGCATCGCAGCATCTTCGCATCTCAGCATCTCAGTATTTTCGCATTTTCTCTGTTGCGTACTCATCTTGGTTTTCTTACTCGTTCAGTTCGTTGTGTTGGGTCGAGCGCATGAAAATTGATTTTCAAATAGTTGGCCTGCCTTTTTTCAAATTTGATTGACGTTATTACATTACATAACATCACATCAGGCGCTGAGGCAACTTACACGCACACACACACACACACACACACACACGCACATCGATACGTATACAAGCAGCTGGCTTAAGTTATTCATCCATTTAGCCCCACTTACGGCCCGGTTGGCTGACTGGCTGGCTGGCTGGTTGCCTGCCTGCCTGCTTGCCTGGCTGACTGGCAACAACAAGTGGAAAACTGTCATTATATTTGAGTTATTGATGGTTTTTCAAAATCATTTTAGCAACAATGTTGTTGCCACATACACCAGCACACTCGCACACACGCACACAGCAAGTTACATTTACGCTTAGTTAAACGCCATAGCTGCGGCTTGTTAACGCCAAACAGACGCAAACTTTAAACGCTATGCGAATTTTGTTGCTGTTGTTGTTGCTTTTGGGTTTCGCATAAATCCAAAAACGCTTTTCAAATATGCCATTCAAAATTATGTTAATTTGTTGCTAGCTGCCGGCTGCCTGCTCTTATGTAATTATTATTGTAAATAGTTTTTTATGCAAATTATGCGTCAGCAGCGCTGTCAACGCTTTTGATTGATGTTGTGCACACAACTTGCCTGTGTTTTGTGTGTCTGTATTTGGTGTGTGTATGTGTGGTGTGTCTGTTTGTGTGTGTAAGTTATTCGCTCTGCTGCTACCACTGCGGCTGTGGCTGCG